TCCATTTTTCCTCACTTTTTCATCTCCAGAGTAATATATCATATGGTCATCCGACTCAAAATGCCCCATGCCAGTCCATCTCATCTCACCAATGCAACAGCAGTACCTTTTTTAAATTAGCGTATTGAGTTTTCAAATTAACATATTTCTTCCATTTCAGGTATTATGCCATTTCATTTTTATAATGAGAATCCTATGTTAGTTTTGTTGTAGTTGTTATTTGTCCCAGAATTGACACCTCCTAGCAATCCTGTGAACAGAAACTTGCCCTGTCCTGTACCATCCTCACAGTCTCCGGCATACTTAATTTAACCCCTTCTTTTTCAGTCTTCTTTTTGTGACCCTCTACCTTTCCTAGTAGGATGTGTTTCTCCAAGGACTAGCCTCTGCTGACAATATAACCAAACTTTATCATCGTGGTAATAGATTTTTTTTCCCCTTCCTTTTTCTCTTGTTAGTTGTATAATGTTGAGTTGGGACCACCTCAGCTGGCCCTCCAGTGGGCTTTCAGAGGCTGTAAATCTCATGGGAGGATATTGCCCAGCTTTCTCCCACAGAGTGGCTGGTAGGTTGGAACTGCATACCTTTGGGATGATAGCACAATTCCTTGCTGCTCAGCCACCAGAGGTTCTTTTCCCTGATCCAGCTTAGATTTTCCTCTCCTATTACTAACAATCGATGTTGATAGATTTACTGTATATACTTTCTTCTATTTATATCTTAAAAGAATCCTATTCTGTCTTAAAGAGGGAGAGTGCTGACTTGCCATGCATTTTCTTTGTTGTAGTCTATCCTGATATTTGTACCATCAGCCTTGTGGCAGTGAGTGATGTGAATAAACATGCTGATAGAATAGCATTTTGGGATGATGTCTATGGCTTCAACATGTCTTGCATGAAGAAAGCAGTTATCCCAGAAGCTGTTGTGGAAGTTGTAGATCCAAAGACTCTAACTTCCGACCCTTGCTGTATTAAGGTAAGTAAATGTCTTACTAACTTTGCTTTTTTATACCAACATTGTAATTTTTCTTAGTTTTCATATCAGAGTTTATTATTTGAAAATAACAAATTGGTTTTGTTTAAGGACTTTCAAAACAGCAATCATGCTTTCAATTTTTTTCAGTCTAAAACATTACGGAATTGTAGCCTTTACCACTGGTTTCTGTCATTGTTTTTACAATCATGTCATTTCTTGCGCTCTTTTTTCTAATCCTTTTTAAATCTAATTCTGAGCAGGTCATATAATTTTCTTTGGTTTAGTTAAGGCTGCTTTATTGACATTTTTGCTATATCACCACTTCTTGGCTTTATTGTAGCTTCTCATTAACAGCCACCTTATTCATTCATTTTATTTCTTCCACACAATTTAACTTTCTGTCATTCGGATTGCTTCCACCTTTTTTGGATGAAAAAATTATGGTAAATTTGCCCATGGAAGTAAAGACCTACTTTCCTCATGTTTCTTAGTTCATTTCTGTGTGGTTTTCTCCCTCTTTTTTTCATCTCACTAGGTAACCTCTAGGTTTGTTGTGAATTTTGCAACATTGAATTTTCTTAGGTTGAGTAATTATAACTTTGCATTGAAAGTAATGTTGCTTTACTTAAAACTCATATTTTCAATCAAAAAACATAAATTTTTTTCAGCATCAAATAGATGTAGTTTGCTTGGCACCAAGTTCAGGACATTGTCTCCTCTTTTTACTTGCAGTATGACTTTGAAAGTATCTGTAATTCTCTGCACAAAGTAGATAGTCATTAAATTACATTTATTTTCTGAAAATGTTAAAAATTAGCATTAACTAGTAAAGAACATAAAGTTTCTCAGCAAAAGCCAGCTAATTGAATTGCATTGCACTTTTAAGAAGAGAAAAATACACCCAGATTGGTAATTCCACAACTATTCATTGCTCTGGTATACTGATAGTGTTTAGGGATTTATTTTGGGTTCTTTGGCTTGAAATGGACGTATACTTTATAGCCAACTCAGCTGTAAGGCTAGAAAAGCAAAAGAAGGGAACTGTGTTTCCTATCTAATGATCTGTTTGTTTAATGCAAAAAACTACTGTCAGTGAATAGCTGAAGTAGGGGAGTATGAAATGGAAAATTTGTTGTTACTCATGTTACTCTGCCATAGAGTCACCATGGCTAATAGTGACTGTATGAACAACAGGTCTGAACCTTGCCTCATCCTACACCGTCCTCATGACCTCTGATATATATCCTCAAACCTATTGTTAAAGTCACTTGTATCGATCTATTTTGTTGAGGGGTGAACTCTCTTTTGATAATGCTTCACCTTTCCCAGAATGATATCGTAGGATGTTTGTTACTGTTGTTGTATACCACTGACCCAGAATCAGTTTGTAGCTGACCTTCCAGTGGATTTTCAGAGGCAATGAATCACATAGGAGGAGATTGCGTATCTCCTTCAGAATGGCTGGTAGATTTGAACTGTGAGTCTTTGGGTTGGCAACACTTTTTACCACTAAGCCACCAGTGGTCCAAATAGATATAAAATCTAGGGGCAATAGTTCTCTTGGTACCAGCTCTAGAGGAAGGTCTTAGAACTTCTTAGTCTGTTTCGCTAGGTACTTTTCATGAGGTGTGGCATCTGACTTCCTCTGTCTTAGATGCGTACTCTGTTCTTTTTTTATCTCAAAGGTGATGAGCTAAAGACTACACTACTGTGTCTCATTAACATGACAAAGAAATTGTTATTCTCAAATGAGATTACATGCACATATTGGAGAGGATGAAGACACAAAATTTCATTGTAATTTTCATTTTAGTAGCATGATTGCTTTATGTTGTTAGTTTTTTCTTTGTTCTCCAGTTCTACAATTGAAAAAAAAACACCCCAGCACGTTATGGCTTTGTTTTCGTTTTATTTTGCCTTTAATTGTTGGAGACTATTTGAAATAAACTAAAACTCTTCAAGGGTGTAGTCATGTGTTGGTTTGTGAATTATGGTGGCTCCACTGAGTTAGAATCTACTTAGTAAATAACAAGTCAGCTAATAACTTCTGGTCAGAATATAGTCATTAAACTTCAGATTCCATCTACTCTCCAGAAGAAGGAGGATTTGAATCAGAGCAGAATGGGAAACTAAAAATCTTCCTAGTTGATTTGGTTTGGGCTCTGGGATTTTATTACTTTATAAGAAATTTAGGGTCTCATGAATGCTGAAAGAAAAGAACTTGCCCTCTTTATATCTTTTCAAGTTGATATTTCCTCTAAAAGTGTACTAATACCACACAAAATGTATATTTTCCTACAAGAGGCATATTTAAAACTGATGAGATACAAAATGGTTTTTAGTACAAAGAAAAGCATTTTCATTTGCATAGTTGTATGTTGTTTAATATGTGTTAGGAAAACATTTACCACGACAGAATTATCATTTGATGTATTCCATTACTTACAGTAAACACCAGGGTTTTGTTTGTTTTTTAAATTTATTAAGGAAATGTTGTCTAAGTAATAAAGTTCTCTAACATTGTCTAACAATCCTGGAAGTCATTTGTGAATGATTAAAGTTTGCTAAACACTGCTTTACAGTAATTCTTTGTGCATTGAAAATGTAATGCTCATCTGTGTTTTTCCACTGTTTTTACTAACCTCTTCTCTTTTTTGGATAGCATATAGATTGTCATACAACATCTATCTCAGATTTGGAGTTTTCATCAGATTTTACCCTAAAAATCACAAGGACATCAGTGTGCACGGTAAGCTATTTAATGTTACTTTTACAGTTTCACTAGCAAGGCAGTAGATTGGCTGGCTAATGCATTAATTACCACACTGGTGATAAATGAAAAAGACTATTGCCTTTGACAGTCCATTTCTGCCTTTACTTGGTCATTGAACAGATCTGTTTTAATAGGTCAGTAGACCTCAAAGAGTAAGCATATTTAAGTAGAGAAAAGATTAGAAAATCTTGTTTATAAAATTATTTTTCCTTAAAGGTTCTCAGTTTTTACTTCTTATATCATTTAGAGCACTCAGATGTTTTCAGAGAGGAAGTTCATGTCCTACCTTTCTTAGTAAACTTTTCCATCCCAGAAACTCTTCAAACTTAATTTAGGGGGAAAAAACAAAACAAAACACCAAAGAAACCTTATTTTGGATGGAAGTAAAATAGGTTCATTTGACATTTTTTTTCCTTTTTGTGAAAAATAATTAACAAAATTGATAGCAGTTTACTTTTATTTTTAAAAAGTCCATCCAATATGTAATAGAATAAACATGGGTTTTAGAAATAATAGCCCAATCTGGATTCAGATTTAGTTCTGTCACTTAATAGTTTGTTACTCTATTCATGCTATTTAAATAATTTGTACCTCAGACTATTCAACTGCCTTAGGGAATATGAGAATAATTATTTTTCTCTTAAAGACTTCTTACATACCTTATGATATAGCTAGAAATGTTAGGATATTTGAAGAGATTTCTTTTTTCTCTCTTGAAGGATTTTTAAATTAATTTTAAGATAACAATTTTCATATTTTTTTTGAAACAGAATGTTAATATGTAGATTGTAAAGATATATTACTTTGAAAATTAGCTGTATCATTTAAAAATAATTGATCATACCTCCAGAAGTCAAAATTTTTATGAAAACTCAGAATGTATCTAGAGTAAGGTCATGTTAATTTTGACTTTTCACCGTTACTCTTTCAACTGTTTTGTTCAAATGAATATACAGGCTAGATGGCTTCTTTTAAAATTATTTCAGTCCATTTTGATCCTTTAAGTATCGCGTGTTTACATTAATTTAACAATATCTTTTGATGTTTTCTTATTTTATGTAAAGTTGATCTTATTATCCTAAATCTCTATCTGAATTCCATGTATGATTTAAGTGTATTCATTCATTAGGGTTGGAAAGGTTGGGGGCAGCAAAACAGAGAAAGTATGCTCACCCAGTTGAATTGACACAGTGACTATTGCAATGGACTTGAGTGTCAGAAATTGCGAAGTTGGCACAAGATGGGACAAGGTTTAGACCTGTTGTTCATAGGGCCGCTAGGAGTTGTACTCAACAATACCTAATAACAACAACAAAAACTTAATAATAAGCAGCAAAATTTTACTCTTCATTTTTGTTTCCCCCAGATTTTCTACTTCTGTTTTTAAGTAATTGAAACTATTTAGTCAGGTAAAATAGCTTTTACAAGCTAAAGGCTTATTAGATTTCCTCTGTATTTCCCTGTTAGTAATCCTTGAAAGATAGGAGGAAACCTATCTTGATTAATGAAAATTCATTATTCTCTAAGGGAGTACTTGGAAATTATTCATCAGGAGTCTAATTTCAATTGACAGAATCCAACAGTTATTCTAACAGAAAGAGATTTGCTAAGAGCGGTAAGACTTGAATGCTTGGACTGTATCTCCCACAACACTTTAGAACTGTATTTATCTTTTGATGATCTTAGTTTCAAACTATGTAAACGTGAAAGGTAAAATAAGAAAGAAAAAAATGTTGATAAAGTCTGCTAAATCCAAAGAACATAGCAACATTCTGGTTTTTAGTAATGTTAATTATCAGATAGGTACTTGATATTTGTCCCTGTACAATCAAAACCTTGCAGGTAAGATATTCTGGGTGCTAAACAAACCAGTCTAAATGTTGCTTAATCTTTAAAAATTTGTTATGTGTTGACTATTTTGTTGTCAACTAGAAGTCAGTCATTGAGTGGGAGAGATAAGAACATACGGAATTCTTATGAAAGTAGTATGTATCTTAGGTGGATTTTGTAAACTCCTCATGGTTGTGTGTGCTACTTATATGAACATATTAATATATGATAAATATGGTAGATAATCAAAATGTTCTTTTCCTTAGCAAAAAAGCCTCTCAGGTTTATGTAGTGAAATAGTCACAGATCCTATCCCCTTTTAGCAGGAGGAAAAAGCTTTTTTTTTTAAAGTGGCTTTTCTTTTTTTTCCTCTTTGCTCTTTTAAATTTACAGAGGTTAAGCATTTACATAATCTGGGAAACTTTTATTCCCATTGTGCTTACTCTAAGCCCTGTTATGTACCGTCGAGTTGCCTGCAACTCATAGCAACCTGATGTACAACAGCCCTAAACCCTGCGCCAATCATACTGTCTCTGACACACCTACCCCCATTACCCCAGTCACTGAATCAGTCTGTTTCATTGAGTTTCTTCTGTGCTGTCCCTGCACACTCCCAAACATGACGTCTCTCTCCAAGGACTGGTCTCTCCTTGCAACACGTCCAAAGTATGTCAGATGAAGCTTTAGAATCCTTGCCTCCAATGAGCAGCCTGGTTTAAACCTCTCACGGACGAACCTGTTCATTCTCTTAGTCCATGGTATATTCAGTATTCTTTTCCAACACCACAGCTCAAAGGCATCGATTCACCTTCTTTCATCCCTAGTCCTTGTCCAGCTCTCTGAGGCACAGCAAGTGATGTCAAAGACCATGGCCTGTATCAGATGCACTTTAGTCGCCAGTCTGACATCATTGCTCTTCAGTGCTTTGGAAAGGTCTGTAACAGCAGACTTTCCCATCACAATACTGCCTTTTAATTTTCTGGCTACTGGTGCCGAGAGTGTTGACTGTGGAGCCAAGCAACCTAACGCTGTGAATAGTCCCAGTCTCTTCACCATCTATCATGATCCTGCCAATTGGCCTGGTGGTAAGAATCTTTGTTTTCTTGATATTGAGCTTCAATCCATATTGATGGCTGCAGTCCTTAACATTCTGCAGCAAGCGCTTCAGGTCCTCCTCAGTTTCAGCAAGCAGAGTTGTGTAATCGGTATAACACGGATTGTTGATCAGTCTTCCTCCAATCCTGATGCCACATTTTCTCCTCATAGAGTCCTGATATAAGTAAGTAAATTTGTTTTTCCTTATACTTTCTTTTTTTATGAGTCCTAAATATCCACTGATGGCACTGGCAAAAATAAAGCCCCAGATATTGATAGAATAGCAATTGAGGTGTTTCAGCAAATAGATGCAAACTTGTACGTTCTCTTCAGCAGTCTGTGCCCATCAAATAAATAAAATAGCTACTGGGCCAACTGACTGAAAGAGATCCATATATGCTCCCATTCCCAAGAAGGACGATCTAGTGGATTGTGGAAATTATCGAACAATATGATATTAAAATCTTTTTGAAGATTATTTTAAAAATGACTTACCAGACATCAACAGGGAACTGATAGAAACTCAAAGTGTATTCAGAAAAGGCTATAGAATGAGGAATATCATTTCTGGTGTCAGGTGGATTGTGACGAGGAACCAGGCAATACCAAAAAGATGCTTGCTTCTGTTCTGTTGAGTAGACAGAGCTGTTCCACTTAGAGGAATGGATCATAGCAAATGACAGCCAGCATTGAGAAGAATGAGAACCCCAGAGCACATAATTGTGCCCTTGGGAAAACTCTGCCTAGACAAAAAAGCAGTTGTCCAAATACAAGTACACTATGGTTTAAATCAGGAAAGGTGTGCATCAGGCTTGTATCCTTTCTCCAAACGTATCTACTTATCTGTTCTGTAGGCTGAGAAATAATCTGAGAAACTGGATTATATGAAGAACATGGCATGAGAACTGGAGGAAGACTCATTAATAACCCGTATTATGCAGATGACACAGCCTTGCTTGCAGAAAGTGAAAAATACATTAAGTATTCACTACAGAAAATCAAATAGTACAACTTTAAATATGGGTTACATTTCAGCATCAAGAAAACAAAAATCTTCATAACTGGACAAATAGGCAACATTAGAGAAAAGACTGAAATTGTCAGCAGTTTAATTTTGCTTGGATACATAATCAACACCCATGATAGCAGCTGTCAAGAAATCAAAAGATGTGTTGTTGTATTGCAGTGTGTCATTGAGATGCCTACAACTCACAGTGACCCAGTGCACATTAATTCTGAACCCTGCTTTATTCCGAGCCAACATCTATCCCTATTACCCCAGTTACTGTGTCAACCCATCTCATCTTCCTCTCCTGTGCTGTCCCTCCACCCTTCCAAGCATGATGTCCTTCTCCAAGGACTGGTCCCTCTTAGCAGCATGCTTAAAATATGAGATGGAGCTTTAGAATTCTTGCCTCCAAGGAGCAGCTTGGTTTCACCCACTCCAGAACAGACTTGTTTGTTCTCTTGAAAGTTAGTGGTATGTTCAGTACTCTTCTTCAGCACCACAAGTCAGGCATCCATTCTTTATCATCCTTACTCATTGCCCAGCTCTCTGATGCATAGCAAGTAATTGTGAACCATGGCTTGGATCAGGTGCATCTTAGTCTCTAGACTGACATTGTTGCCCTTCAACATTCTGGAGAAGTCCCTGACAGCAAATTTTTCTAATTCAATTCGTCTTTTGATTTCCTGACTGCTGGTGCCAAGAGTTGACTGTGGAATCAAGCAAGCTGAAATTTTTAATAATCTTAATCTCTTTTCCCTCTGTCCTAGTGCTGCCTATTGGCCTAGTGGTGAGAATCTTTATTTTCTTGATGTTGAGCTTCAATCCATCTTGAAGACTGCAGTGCTTGACTTTCTGCAGCAAACACCTCAGGTCCTCCTCAGTTTCAGAAAACAAAGTTGTGTCGTCTCCATATGAAGCAGGATGTTGATGAGGTTTCCTCCAATCCTGATACCACATTCTTCTTTATAAAGTGCAGTCTCCAAAATGATCTGTTGGACATAAAGATTGAAAAGATATGGAACAGGGTGCATCCTTGACGCAT